TTTGGCCATTTGAGTTTTTTCTGTTGAGAATTCTCTGTTTAGATCTGTACCTCATTTTAAATTGGATTATTTTGCATTTTGGTGTCTAGTTTCTTGATTTCTTTATATATTTTGGAGACCAGACCTCTGTCAGATGTGGAGTTGGTGAAGATCTTTTCCCATTCTGTTGGTTGTTGTAATGTTTTTTGACTGTATCCTTTGTCTTACAGAAGCTTCTCAGTTTTGGGATGTCCTATTTATTGGTTATTGCTCTCAGTCTCTATTTTATATCTAGGAAGCAGTCTCCTGTGCCAATGTGTTCAAGGCTACTTCCCACTTTCTCTTCTGTCACATTTAGTGTAACTGGATTTATATTGAGGTCATTGATCCATTTGGACTTTAGTTTTGTGCATGGGGATATATATGGATCTATTTGCATTCTAATACATGTCAACATACAGTTATGACAGTACCACTTGTTGAAGATGCATCTTTTATCCATTGTGCAATTTTGACTTTGTCAAAAATCAGGTGTTCATAGGTGTGCTGATTAATATCAGGCTCTTCAATTTGATTCCATTGATCTATGTGTCTGTTTTTATGCCAATACCAAGGTATTGTTATTACTATAACTCTATAGTAGAGCTTGAAGACAGGAATGGTGATGCCTCCAGAAGTTCCTTTATTGTAGAGGATTGTTTTGGCTATCCTGGGTTTTTTTCCATATGAAGTTGAGTAGTATTCTATCCAAGTCTAGTAGAATTGTGTTGGGATTTTGATGAGGATTGTATTGAATCTGTAGATTGTTTTTGGTAAGATTGCCATTTTTATTATTGATCTATCCGAGAGCATGGAAGATCTTTGCATTTTCTGATATCTACTTCAACTTCTTTCATCAAAGACTTAAAGTTCTTGTCATACAGGTCTTTTACTTGTTTGGTTAGAGTTACCCCAAGATATTTTATGTTATTTGTGGCTATTGTAAAGAGTGATATTTCTCTGATTTCTTTCTCAACCTATTATCATTTGTATATAAGAAGGCTACTGATTTTTTGAGTTAATCTTGTATCCTGTCATATTACTGAAGGTGTTTATCAGCTACAGTAGTTTCATGGTAGAGTTTTTGGGGTCACTTATGTAGACTATCATATCATCTGCAAATAGTGAAAGTTTGACTTCTTCCCTTCCAGTTTGTATCCCTTGATCTCCTTTTGTTGTCTTATTGCTCTAGCTAGAGCTTTGAGTGCTATATTGAATAGATATGGAGAAAGTGGACAGCCTTGACTTGTTCCTGATTTTAGAAGAATTGCATTGAGTTTCTCTCCATTTAGTTTGATGTTGGCTGTTGGCTTACTGTATATTGCCTTTATTACATTTAGGTATGTTACTTGTATCCCTGATCTCTCCAAGACCTTTATCATGAAGGGATGTTAGATTTTGTTGACAGCTTTTTCAGCATCTAATGAGATGATCATGTTTTTTTTTTTTTTAATTTCAGCTTATTTATATGTTGGGTTACATTGACAGATTTGTGTATATTGAGCCATTCCTGCATCTTTGGGGTAAAGCCTACTTGATCATGGTGGATGGTTTTTGATGTCTTCTTGGATTCAGTTCGCCAGTATTTTATTGAGTATTTTTGGATCAATATTCTTGGGGGAGATTGATCTGTAATTCTCTTTGAGTCATTGTATGGTTTGGGTATCAGGGTAACTGTAGCCATGTAAAAATAGTTTGGCAATGTTCCTTTTGTTTGTATGGTGTGGAACAACATGAGTATTGTTATTATTCTTCTTTGAAATTATGGTAGAAATTTTCACTGAAACTGTCTGGCCCTTGGCTTTTTTCTGGTTGGGAGACTTGCCTTTTTATAAGCAGATGACTCATATACAGCCATGACCCTGTGCTGTGCCTCTTGTTTTTTGATTAGCAAAGTCATGTGACTTACTTGTGACTCTGTTTTTCAGTGGAGATGAGGGATGCATGAATGAAACAGTTTCCTTCATGTCTTTTTCAGGTAAATTTCCTCCGTGGTACCTGCTTCTTCACAACAATAGAAACTAGCCCTAACACTTCTCCTTTTATGTCTTATCAAAATACTGTCCTTCTTATCTCCTCACTGCATGAAAGATTCACTTCATGGACTAGTGTGTCTCACCCTGGCTTTCTGAGTCTACTTTTAAACTGCCTATATGTCACTTATACATAATCATGTTCTCATTGAAAATAATCTTTCCAGAATTTTAATTTTTCCACTAAGACAGTTTGTAGACAGAATAATAAATCCTTACAGTAGATGAGGCTTTTGAACTAGTGTGTCCTTTGGATTTCATCTAGCTCAGTCCTCTGATTTCAGGGCACATGCTGCAATATGTTGGTGATGTTTTGACTAAGGAATGCTATGACTAAGCTCAAACATGGCTCTCTAAAGGAATGTTTAGCATGTTCTCTGGTTTTTTATTTCCTTATCTGTGAAAATTAGAATGTTTATCAATTAGTAATTCCTTCACCTGCAAATAAGGACTGTTGATAATGCCTTGTTGCATAAAGATATTTGTGATTCATCTATATGAATCTGGGGGTATGAGGATCCTTAGGGTTGGGTCCAGCTCATTGGGTCAGAAAACCTCTCTCTCTCTCTCTCTCTCTCTCTCTCTCTCTCTCTCTCTCTCTCTCTCTCTCTCTCTGTGTGTGTGTGTGTGTGTGTGTGTGTTTCTATTTTTCCTCAGGCCTAGCATGGTTTTCTGTTGTATTCATAACTTCTATCCTACATCACATGGTAACAGTTTTAGGAATCATGTCAAATGGGGAGAAGTAGTACAGCTATGGGACTAGAGAGATGACTCAATGCTTAAGAGTGCATATTGCTCTTAAGGTGGACCCAGTTCAATTTCAAACACCCATGATAGACAGCTTGTCATTGCCTGTAACTCTAGGAATGCCTCATGCTTCTGGCCTCTGCAGGCACTGCACTCAGGCATACATATATACATAATTGAAATGAATCTTTTTTAAAAAGAGTAAGGTTAAAAAAATCCCACATGAAGGGATGCACTCTTCCCTGGATACATGGGGAAGGGCCTAGGCCCAGCCCAGGATGATGTGGTGGACTTTGTGGAGCCCCTGTTGAGGGCCCTATCTTGCCTGGGGAGTGGAGGATGGATGGGGTAGGGGGTAGGTCGGGGTGGGGTAGGAAGGGTGAGGGTGTGGAGAGGGAGAAGGGATTAACATGTGAAACAAGCATGTTCCTAATTTGAACTAATAAAAAAAAATGAAAAAAAAAGTAAGGTTAGCTGGGTGTTGGTGGTGCAGGCCTTTAATCCCAGCACTCGGGAGGCAGAGGCAGGCAGAACTCTGTGAGGTGAGTTCGAGTCCATTCTGGTCTACAATAGCTAGTTCCAGGACAGGCTCCAAAGCTACACAGAGAAGCCCTCTCTTGAAAAACAACAACAAAAAAATGAGTAAGTTTATAAAACTGGTAGCTTCTCCTCCAAAGTTCAGTTCTTTCATCAAAATTTGAACTCTCTCCCAGGGACTCTTAGCATTCTTCTGTCTACTCATTTCTGGAGTTGTGAGTGGGGCTAGGAAACCTGCTTTGTGTCTGTCTTCAGAGTGGCATGGCAAAGAAGAGGAACTTGAGAGTAGCTTTGGACTGACCAAACAATAGTGACTGTCAGAGTTGTTCCTAGAATACGCATTTGTCTATATGGTCATTTCCAGAAAGAAAATGTTTGCAGAGTGGATTCCACTGTCACCTTGCTTGGACTCAAATCAAAGTTTCCTTCCTATGCATCCTGACTTTGGGCTTCCATCCATTGGTTTCCTTATCAGTAAACAGGAATAGTAATAATTATAAGTTTTGTATGTTTTGTGTGAATAACTTCAATAACTCAATAATAACTCAATACTTAATGAATGTTGTCACTAAAGTTCAGTATCATGCTTGGATGCAAAACAAATTGAATGCCTAGCATGCGTCTTTGAGCAAAATGACTTGGAAATGTAGCATTTGAAGCTATTGTATACAAACCTTTAACCTAACTAGAAAAATCCCTGATAGATATATAGTCTTAACAGCTTTTGCCTTCCTTTGTTTAGACAGCCCTATAATTGACATGTTCTTGTTTAGAAACGAAGCACTGTTGGACTTATCTGTAGTCTTCATGTGTGGAAGTAACATGATAAAAAGCATATTTTGACTAGAATGTATCAAATTAGGAATCTGTAAATTCCAATATGTCTATGCAACAGTTCTAGATAAGTGACTTAGACAGAAACAGTGCTGTTAGGGCTAGGATAAAACAAATGCCTTTGCAGTGTTTTCAGCGATTAGAAAAAAATATCATAGCATGAGAAAGATGGAGAGGGAAGAAACATAGAAGGCATTCCGTAAATAGCCAGTCATAAAAGAAATGTAGAATGAGAAAAACATCAGAGAGAAATCCATTGTTCTGCCAGCCTCATCTTGTTTCCTAGTAACCACCCTTCCTAGCATGAGAATGAGAATTGGCTGATCCTAGTAGAGAAGCAATAGAAATTCGGAATGGCTTCTAGTGTGTATTACTGTCTTACAGGGACTAGCAGGTGGATTCTGCATGGAAGGACTATGCAGTTCACCCTTCCAGAGTTACAGAGAGTGCAGGACTATGTTCAAGCCAAGTTCATATGAAGTCCAGGTCACATTCAAGAGTCTCATTTGAGCCAGAGGTTACAGCTCCTCCTGTCCAGCAGACCACCCTCCTCCCCCTTGGGCATGTGCATTTTGAATGCATGGCTACTCTATCCTGTATATTGATTGGCATTCCTCAGAACCAAGAATAAATGCTAATAAAAATTCTAGCTTAGTTTCTTATCTCAGTGAGTCATCATCCTGCAGTTATGAGTACCCAAGTAATTTGTCAGCCTGGAATGAAGTCAAGTGTTCAAAAACCTCTCATGTTATGTGTAGTGTCGTGCCAGGTGTGCTGCAGACAAGCAGTTGGGAACTGTACTAACTACACTTCTCTGACTTTTGCTTTCAGAAAACCCGTTATGAGATATATGTCAACATTCTGAAAGAAGGAGGCAAGGAGCTCCTGAGTACTGAGGGAAACGAGGCAGTGGGACTAAAGAAGTCACATTCAAGTCCTTCCCTGAACCCAGATTCATCTCCAGTCACTGCCAAGGTCAAGCGCAACGTGTCAGAGAGAAAGGACCACCGACCTGAAACACCCGGCATTAAGCAAAAAGTTACTTAGAATCCATCCACGGCCAGGAAGTGCTGGTCATGGAGCAAAATAGTTTTTCAAGATCTTTCTGGTAATCCGTGAATATATTTAAAAAAATAGTCTGTGACTAAATGGTGCATTAGTAACCTTTTATATTGTAAATTTTTGTTAGTTTCTGTACAGATGTCTTCGCTCTTGAGTTCTTGCTTTAATGATTTGGGCAACTTTATAACTAATGCACCTTTTGTGAGGGGCAGAGGATTACAGTCCTTTCTCCTTCAGCTTTCTCTTATTTGCACTTCTGCACAGTTATTTTATGTATTCCCAGTCAACTGTTACACTTTTTTTTTAGATTTAAATTTTGAATCCATTGTGAAACCCATAACTGGACAAGCATTGTGCTTTAGTAAACCCTAGAATTTACATGTGAACTCCTGCCCAGCCACGGAGGTGAAGTTGAATGCTCGTAGCTGCAGGGAGTCAAGGTGCCCCAGGGGCATTGATCCTGGCACCTGCTGTTCAGTGCTGGGCAGAGGAAAAGGGAGAACATGATGATGACAGGACTGGAGGGAGACCTTGGGGAGGCACAGGAATCTGCCTCACCTGTGGCTTCCATTCCAGCCACGCAAGGGAAAGCAGATGTGGATCATCTTTCTTGATGGGAGGCTGAGGGCAGATTGATACCAAGCTACTTCTGTTTTCTAAAGGATGGTGGCAGTGGCGATAATCAGCCCTTTGGGAGCTGCGAGCTGCAGCAATAGGGTGTGTGGTCTTCCATAGGAATGTGTTACCTCACTCCCATGTGATTTAAACTAGGAATCAGAATCATCTCTGTCATTGATATCCTTCCAGCCAGGAGTAGATCCAGTTTTGCATAGACGTGCAGGCACAGATCATGTCCTGGTTGAAACAGAGCAATGTGGAAAATGGATTGCCCCCATTTTTCCTTTGCTATATCAGGACAAATAGGGAGCAAATGCAGCTGCAGTTCTCCATCAAGGGACAGTGACCCTTCAGACGGAATCTGAAGTCAGTCTGATCTTAGTGACTGAAGATGGAGGAACTTGATGATTTGTGTGCTGTTCCTTAGCTTATCCTCATCTCCATCTCTATAGCCATTTTACTCTGTCACTAGTAAGATTGCTCCTGAATTTATTTGTATATGTTTGATCTCATTTTTTCTATGTATTCAAAATGATTTTACCTTACAAACAGTCCCTTTAAAATTCAAGGTATTAAGTAGAATATTGCCTGTAGAGGAAGAGAAAGGAAGATAAAAGGTGAGATTCCTCTGTGGCTAAAAACTCAGGTTTCCAACCTTGAAACTATTCTCTAAAACTACTATCTTCCCAACAGCATATCTTCAAAACTAACAGGATGACATTTGGATATTTCGTTATGGTCCTTAGACATTTTCTCTATTTCTACTTGGTTAGTTGAAGGTACTATGACCAGAGAATCAGCTGCTCTTGCATGAATAGCATGATTCCAGTAAGTTAGAGAAAGCCTGTTAGAAAATCATGGTAGTTTATAGAGATGTATCATTAGGATATAGTAGCATTTAGTTACAGGATTAAGTGTTAACCTCTACTTCTTTTCCCTTCTGTACATGTCCATCTTGCTTGTGCCCAGGAATAGTAACTCCTCTCCAAAACTAGCTGCTTGTTTCATGGTATTTTAACACCTATTGAAAAATTTCCTTTAACTTCTATCTTCTTTAGGTAAAGGCAATTGACTTAGTTTATATTTCAGAACCATGAAGCTAACATTTTGCTTCATGTACCTGAACTACTTCATAGCTTCCTACCGAATACACTATTTCCTGAGCAAGTTGCCTTTCTTCTGGAAGGTGAATTTTCACTGTCTGCTTTTTGCCTAAGTATTTGTAGTCCCTCAAGGGAAAGAGGTACCAAGACCTTTGAGTCTTGAGCATCATCTTTGAGCATCAGTAGCTGAAGAACAGTTAACATGTTTGAATGTGTTTGTTCATAGTGTATGTCTGTATGTGTATAGAATGTTTGTGCGTACTTACTAGAATATCTAATATACATTGAATGGTACCTTGCTGAAGAGTTTCTGGCATGGAGAATAATCTGGGAATACCCTTAACATCAGCACTGCCACTGTTCCTATTACAGGACTCATAGTGTTGCCTCTAGAACTTATGGTCATACTTATAGATAATCAGATGACAAAGGCACGTTTGAAGCTGTAGACTATGGTGTCAGCGTCATTTGTCTTGAAAATTAACTGTAACATTCTTCTGTGAGTTAGAATCCCAGCCTGCCCTAATGTAATGCTGTCCACCTTCCAGGGATAGGCTTAAAATGTACCTTCCCTGAGGCCACCTAAGGATATTGTCTGCCAAGAATGCACAGCAGGCTGTGTTTGTCCTATGGTAGGAAACACCTCTGACCTACTGGGACTCTTAGAGTCTGGTCCATGGCCAACCCAATTTCCCCACTGTATTGAGTCATAAGAAATGGAAGGTGGTTCTTTGGACAGCTACTTAAGCCTGTTGCCCAGTGCACGGTACAGGGAGCTCTCCTCCCCCTCCTCTCCATGGTACTTCGTTCTACCCCACCTATGCCTACTTTCACCCCTACCTCAGTACCCTGGAGCCTTGGAGTTCCTCTCCATATGATAAAATATTATCTACCTTACATTAATACCCTTAATATTAAAGTGATTTTTAAGTGTAGAAAATCTTGTCATCAAACGACTTTGATGATAGTCTTGTTGCAAACTGACCCTGTATAAAAATCTGTGTGTTTTGTGGGGTTCACCCTACCCCACCTGCTGACTTCTAGAAAGGTTTGCCAGGAACCCCATTTTAGAGATTAAAATCTTGTTCCTACCACTCAGAGTACTTATTTTATTGGCATATCATTGTCATATCTGAAATGTACTATTAAAAATATATGTCATTTACCTAATTCGTAGCAATGTCTAATTAAGCCAAGTGTTACTTATATGCATTTCAATTAATCACAGCAAAATCAGCATGTGGGGGAGTACTCTGCTAGAAATAGTTTATACATTATATGTAGATTTTTGAAACTGCTCTTAGGTAAATAAGATGGAGCCATTTCTCACACAACAACCTCGGGAAGTCTGCAAGGCAATCTGTGCCATTCCATTTGTTTCCCTCATCCTGAAGAGGAGAGCCATTTTCCAGGAAAATATGAGGGAATTGATTCTGGAAGAGGAAAATCTGGCTGTTTTTTTTTTTTTAAGGCCCAGCTAGGTGTGTGTTCTTGGGAAGTTGAGTGTAGGAAGTTACACTGGCTCCGTTGCCTTCTGCCCTTTATCTGATAAATAACACAGATGAAGGGTCATGCATGCTGGGAAATAAGGAAGGACCATCCTGAGATGCAAATCTCATCTGCCTTATTGATTAGAAGTCAGCTTCTCCTTTGTCTTCTCAAATGAGAGAGACCTTAGATGAAGTTAGCTGAAGATGGGATTTTAATTCTTTGGCATTGTTTTCTAGTAGCCATCAATTAAGCCTCACTTGACATTAAGTTTCTTAGTTTTGAACATAAAAGTTTGTGTGGATTAGCTTTTATGGATGCAAGATTTTATCAGGTCAATAGCTACCTTCCTAGTTTTATCAGAGAACCTTCTAAGTTCGGATAACAGTGTGTTCTTCACTAGTCAAGTTCACACCAGAGCCAAAGTAGAATTGTCACATCAGGTAAATCTAGACTCTGGCTCATGAATGATAATGCAACTTGGGGTTTGAGTCCTATCTGCTTTTGTTTCAGAGCATGCATGTTACTCAGACAGAAAAAGACCAGTCAATTCTGTAGGCAGAGGATCTCCCTTGCTCCAGGACCTCTTACCTATATCCACCCAGGCCAGGCTGCTGGTGAACCTCTAGAGCAGCAGAAATCTCCCCACTCACTTTTGACATCTGCTATCATCATGCCATCCAGAGGACTTTCTCAATCCACATAAAAAAAATCTGGAGGCATTGCAGAGGTACTTTGTCATTGCGTATCCTTTCAGACTCCCTTTCCATCCTTCACACTTAACCGGACTGACATCAATGTCATTCTCACTCTGCATCTGTGGAGTGGGCATCTTCAAACATTCAGCTCATTGCATGTGGAAAGAATGTCAATAAATACTTGAATCTGCATGGCAGTTTGCTGGTTGTATGCAAGAGCAAGGAATACGGCAAGTTACTTGTACATATGGTAGATTTCCTTAGGTATTATGGGCGCATCCTTCATAATTTATATGTATATTTGTTGTATTGAAATATTGGGGGAATATTTGTATAGATAGTATGTCACATGTCAAAGGAAATGCTTTCTGTCACCCGCTAATGTTGTATTTGTGGGTATTTATAGTTGTATGTATGTATGTATGTATGTATGTATGTATGTGCATCAATGTGTAGATTGTGTATCAGTATATGGTATATGTATGTTGAAATTATTTTTGTCATTAAAAAACCAGTATAATATGAAAAGAACATTTAAAAACCTCATAGGAATGATTATATAGTACAGTTGTTGTTGAGAGTTCATATAGTGGTATTGTTTTATTAAACTTAAATTCAAATGATATTTTGATTAAATTTTTTAATAAGACTTTACAATAGAAAATTCCATCTTTAAGCTTTGAATTACCAGGGCAAAAATGACTTTGAACTCAACTCGTGAATCTATTGACATGTACAGTGTGCAATACAAAGAGAACTCATTATAATCTGGGAAATACAGAAGTGGGGGGAAAGTCAGCCTGTGCAGTCTTAGCAACTTTAGTATTAAGAGCACTTAACATAGTGTTGAGCTGACAACTTTGGGCTTCTTACAAAATGTGATGCTTTTGAGCTCACGTTCTTTATTGTTGTAATTAGTCCAGAACACTACGTAACTTTCTGAAGAACTCAATATGTACCCAGTGTATCTTTTATGTACCGGTGTATATTTTAGAGTAGATCAGTCACACTCCTGGTGCCATATCTTTACCCTCTTTGAAGGAATTATCACAGATGATACTGAAGTCTATCAGGGCATCCCGAGATCGGGCACTGTATTCCAGGTTCGCAATTGCACAAATTAACAGCTAGTGTCACAGGCAAAAGGACTTTAGGAACAAGTTAAAACTTTATTTAATATTTTTATACTTCAGTCTCTTTTCCTGACTCTCCCCAAAGAAGAGCCACTGGCCTTAGTTGTTTGACGTTATTGCTTATATTATAGAGTGTAAATAGTAACTAGAGACTACACTTTTATTAACCAGCATGTTTGGTATATTCAAAACAGCGACTGGGTGTGTTGGAGTGAGTGGTTGGCTGCAGTGTCTTTTGTTAGAACACACTGCCTCATGTCTTCATGTCAGAGTCAGAGAATTGGAACTGTAGGGTCTGAGACCCTCTTCAGCTCCAGACTGCAGTCCCATATTGGTGGTTATAGTTGAGTTTTGTTTTTATTAACACTTCAGTCTCAAACTATTTTTACAAATATATATTTCCCAATTTGTTCTCTATGTGTGGTGGGCTGGCCCTGTGGCTGATCAGCAGGTCTTCTGCAAGAATATTTCCTCCTAAGAATGACTTAAGAAAACAGCCATGTGACTCAGAAATCACACAGAAATGAGTAGTAGAAATAAGATATATTTTAGGCCATAGTTACTTGAAATGTTTGGATTTTAATATAAAGCCATGGAAGTTGTTAAGCCAAGTAACCATTTGACATGGAGAATAATATTCGCTCTAGAGAGTATATATGCACATTGAATTTTATGTCATTAGTATACTTTTTTAAGCTTTAGAAATATGAGTGATTAGACCAAATTGAAGTGGAGAGGTGCTGGCTGTTTTCCACTTAGGGTAGCCATGTCTGTGTTAAATCATTTCCTAGGAAATTCACCAATTAACTGTCCCTTAGGTGTTTAAAGAGAAAATTGATATGCCTAGGACCTCATCTGTGTATACAGAGAGAGAGAGAGAGAGAGAGAGAGAGAGAGAGAGAGAGAGGAGAATATCTTTTAAGTTATACAAATGTATGACATTAAGACATTGAGGGCCAGAGTATTTAAAGATATGATGAATGGAGGCGATGTAAACTGTATCACAGATGAGTTCCATGAACCAGGGAAGATTGATGGAGTGTTTGACTTTGAGGTGCATCACATTTTCAATAGAGAAATGGGGCCTGGGACACATGCTGTGTTCTTCCTGGTGGACCACCAACTTAAGGCATTCTTGTGACCCCTAGGCAGTGATTCTCCAACACTCTGAAGATGATTCATTTAAGAGGGAGTGTAAATGGAGAAGCCATATTAACTTCAGAGCCCCAAGTGTGAATGGCCTGCCATGGCTTCTGAGCTGTAGGTGAGAGAGCTTGCACTGGAATGTGCTGAACAGCCAAACACTTATCCATAGCCCAGGATCTTCAGGATGAATATAAACAGAAACCCAAATCTAATGCACTTTTGCAGGGGAGAGTTCAGCTTTCACTAGCAGTAATATGAAAATAAGTACCTTACTTAAATCCCTGAAAGCACTGGTGGATGAAGAGAACTTTGGAGTTTCACTTAGTGTTTTCCCCAGCAGTCTACATAAGCCTTTGGACACACCTACAAGTCCCAGGCACAAGGCTCCATGAAGGATCACACAGCAGGTCTGAGGCACTGCTCTGAGCCCTTACCTCGGGCAGTGGAGAGCAGGGTGATCTTCCTACTCTGGAGTTTCTCCTTGGCCTTCTACTCCACCAGGGCTTCTGCTCAGCAGCAAGTGTATGCTGGATTTAGGAATCCAGCTGTCCCGGTGGCTTGACCCTGTTCAGACAAGATATCACTCAGCCATGGGAGAAGACACAGGGTAAAAAGACCCTCAGTTTGAAGCTAAGATTGCATTTTGTCTTTTCAAGAAACAAATGGGCATGTTGAGTTCTGTCAGTGTCAGATGGTATCTTTGCCTTTGCTCCCAGATTTCCAGAAATGGATACTGTTTCATTTCTGTGGGAAGGGTCAAGGAACATAAAATTGCTCAACAGTGCTCTGTTCACATGAGGGCTGTTGAGCAAAGGCCAATATGCCTCCCTGCGTTCTCTTCTACCTCAAGGTTTTGGAATTCACTTCTGGAACAGAAATTTATACAATTGAAGAGCCATGTTGTCAGCCTTGTTTACTGTGGGATACACACAGGATGGCAGTTTGTATCTTTGAAGATACAAAAGAAGCTGGGATTTTGCAGCCTATTAACTGGTTTCTATTTACTGTGGCTCCAACTGATTGGCAATGCATAACATTCCTTTACCTTCAAAGTTTTCTCCACCAGTCATTTCTGTCACCACAGTCCCGGTGTCATATGCCCCTGCAAATTGCAAAAGTAAGTAGTGACAAAATAGTAGCCTCCCCTTTTCAGTGGCCAAACTGTCAGCTTTAGTAGACCTGGAAAAGCTAGTGGTACCACACCATGTACTGAAAACCTGTTCCTTATCACACACCAGATTCAAGAAATGCCACTTCCAAATTGTGGCATTCATGGTGGTAGTCTTTTGAATGGAACAGTAATTAATGTGGATATTGTTAGTGTTTAAAGAATATTTTGAAAATTAAGTTTACATTTTACAATTGCTTTATTTTTATTGAAATAATTGTATATAAATATTACCCTATTTCACTGTTATTAAAGTAAAGCTAAACCTTGTAGACAGTGGGTCAACTGTATGGAAGCTGTGACGTATACAGTACATTTCTCTATTGTGTAAATGGCCATGAATAGGACTGTCCCTGTGTTTTTATAAGTTGAGGGTATTTTGTTGTTTTATAACAACAAAATTTATTGCATTTGAAATGGTTTTTATGTAATAGAAATCATGCAAACAATGAAGGATTATAATATGGTATATGTAAATGTACAAACTTTAGAAAGAAATAAATACAACAAATTTCAATAATTTGGGGAGAATGTTTTTATTTGCTTATTTATTCAAGTTAATACTTTTCATAGTAAGGAGTACTACACTGTACCCTTCCATAAAAAGACAAGCACAGGGACTGGGGACATGGTTTGGTGGGTAAGAATATTGCTGTGTAAGGGTGAGAACCTTGAGTTTGAATCCTAGTACTCATGTAAAATGCTTGATATGGCGATGCATGTGCTCACAACCCAGTGCTAAGGTGGGATGGGACAAGAAGATCACTGGGAGGTGCTGGCTGCAATCCTCCATCTTCATTCAGTGAGAGACTCTGTCTCAAAGAAATGAGGTACAGAGAAATCAAGCAGCAAAATTGACATCCTCCTCTGACATCATATATGGACAAAGACACATGTATCTGCATGTATACACACCTAGTCAGGCATGACAGCACATGTTTGTAACACCAACATGAGAAGGCAAAGATGTGCAGATCTGCAGAGTAAACTAAATGTCCAGTCAAGTGGGTGAGCTTCAGGTTCAGTGAACATCCTTTTCAAAACATCAAGTGGAAAACACTTGGGGAGAAACAACACATGTAGACCTGTGACCTTCACATGCTTCTGCACATACACACATCAAATAAATCACAATAAAATGATGGTTGTAAGAGACATTCAAGATAGAAGTAGTCCAGGATGAAAAGACTTAACCTTGGACATTGACTGAGGTGGTATCCACTCCAATAGTTGATGCTAACTAGCCTCCATGAATGTCTGTCTGAAGCTTGGATATGCTAATGATTACAGCAAGGGAGGAAAAGGAACTTCTTGAAGCAAATTCAAGAATTGTTTTCTCTCCCGGTGATGTCTTATCAAAAGTAAGTGTACAATGTAGTTAATATGTCCTGAAATGCTGATGCTGAAATGCTAGCACAAATGCTAGCCCGTACCTTTGTGCTCCTTAAGAAAGCCTATTGTAATTGAGGTCTATTGATTTAGAAAATTAAATCCCACCTCAACTTCTGAGTATTGGAAACAACATCAGGGTAGGAGGTATGGATTTTCTGAAATGACTGGACTGGCTGTGTGCTGTTAACAAGTGTATCATTGAAATGTCAAGCTTTCCATGTTGTCCATCTCAAGAAAGAAAACTGGGGGGAGTGAGGTGGGACAGAGCCTCTCTGTCACCATGGCTTCTGCTTCAAGTCCTTATTTGGAGTGTGAAGCTCAAGAATGTGTCCCATTGCCTGGCAGCCTGTCTGTCTGTGGCAGTTGTGGGTGTCTTACATATTCTCTGTATTGCACAACTAATATTTTGAGAACCATAGGGACTGCAGAGATCATTTTAAGAGCATTCCTAAGAGGAAACTAAAACCCAGGTCTAATTAAGATGCTGTGAGGAGCAAATAGAATCTCTGTTGTATTCCCAGATTCATTTTTTGAAATGACAGTGGAAGAGACACCCAGAGGGACAGGTGAATCACTGTAAAATCATATGGAAAAGATTTGTCAACCAGGAACCAAACCTGGTTAAGAACAAAGAAAACAATATTTGATTGGCACTGAAATCTAGAAAAGCACAGACTCAAGTAGCCTTGAATTTTGCTTCAAGGTTTTATAAGATGATGGCCGTTGTAGCTTTAAACCTCAGGGGTTTGGAAGTTTGGGCCAATGCTGACTACGTTAAACTGTATTGCTAACTAAAGTATTGAGCTTGGTTTTAGTCTCTTGGAAGTGTGGGAATGATGGCAGAGATTAACTGTATACTAAAGGCCACATTACATAAGAGAATGGATGAGTCTGAAACCCAGGTATACACCCCTCCCCCAAATTCCTGCCATCTGATTAACATGGCTTCCCAACTCTTAGTTCCTTGTTCTAAGGCTTTTCTACTTTTATTTCTTCCTTGACAGTGATTAGCAAGAAGACATGTTAGAGAAAAAGGTATAGGAGTATAAGTCTGGGTGATGGCCCAGTCAGTGAAGCTGACTAATAAACATGGAGATCTGAGTTCAGTTCCTCAGAACCGAGTGGGATGATTTGAATAGGGAGTGCCCCCATAGGCTAGGAATTTGAGCACTTGGCCCTTAGTTCATGATGATGTCTCAGGGGGGTTTAATAGATGCAACTTCATTGGAGGGGGACAGGGGAAGGCTTTGAGAGTATATGGCCTCCCCCTACATCCAGGTTGCTTACACTGCTTTGTGATTTTGGTTAAGGTGTGAACTCTGAGCTTCCTGCTCCTGCCACCATGCCTGGGGGTGCCATCAATCGTAGCCATACTATGATAGGCTCTTTTTATTTGTTTGTTTGTTTGCTTTTAGTTTTTCGAGGCAGGTTTCTCTGTGACTGTGGACCCTGTCCTGGAACTTGCTCAGTAGACCAGGTTGGTCTCAAACTCACAGAGATCTGCCTGCCTCTGCCTCCCTAGTGCTGGGATTAAAGGTATGTGCCACCAACGCCAAGCCAAGACTCTTATTCCTATGGAACCATAGCCAAAATAAATTCATAATTTGTTTTTTTAGTTGAGGTGTTTTAGCACAGCAATCGGAAAGTGACTAATGTAAATATGCCTGTATCAGTGATGCCAATGTTGTAAAGGCAGAAACGGGAGGATGCCTCCATCACACTTGACAACCTACTTAAACTAATTGCTGTACTCCAAGTCAGTAAAAGACAGTGTTCCTGAAGATAATGCTATAGGGAGTCAGTCACCCGTCCTCCATGTATACCCACACAGGTGTGTGCTCACAGAAAAGCAGGTGTACACACACACAAATGAAGCCATATATCAAGAAAACTACTCTGGGCTGTAGACCAGTAAAGTTGAATCTTACTCTGGGCTTATCTTCAGGTAGAAAAGAAGCAGCAATTATTTGAAGTCAGATCAGGCTTCAAGAAGAAATTATATTAGACTCCATTTTGTAATCCATTAGCCTGGTAGATTAGACATGTGCAGTCAATAAAATATTGGACCTTTGAGTGAGTGGGCATGGTCTTTAATGAGATCTGCCCCGGTAAAAGGAGAAGTACAATCTATACACTCACACTGTTGGTGGGCGTGCAGCCACTTAAATAGCGCTAATTAAAGGATCCCCAACAACTTGGAGAGGCATCTCCAGTGTCCTGCTGCTAAGCTTGCCTTTGGCCCCATCTGTTCACCATTCTAATTAATAACTTGGCAGAAGCTACAGAGGCAAGTTTATGAAAAATGGGTATGTCATAAAGCTGGGACAGAATGATTATACTAAATGACAGAATTGGGATTCAAAAAGATCTCATCAGGCAAAAGAAATGGGGCAGAGTAACAGTGTGATTCGGGAGTGCTAGAAGGGGCTTACATTGAGTTTAAAAGCAGGGCTGCACAAGGGCAAGCTAGGACTTTGAGTAGCATAGGATAGTGACTACACAGGACGGGAAGTCGCTAACTTCCAGCTGCAGAGAGCACAAAGGAAGCCCAACAATACTGCCACCAAAAGCATGTGGGCTTCATTTCTGCATTTGGTGTCCATAGTAGAGGAGGTGAGTGAGATGCTATGAGTGAGACAGCAAGAGCAAAAGGGGTAAATGATCTACAAACTGGCACATTGACAGAGTATGCATAAGGAGGAGTAGCTAGACATTAAGAGCTGTGATCAATGCCTTGAGGAACAAGGGAAGGGTGGGAATGGGAGACTGACAGACAGTCCATGACAGGATGAGAGAAGGCTGGTTTAAGTGTTAGAATGTGCTGGCAACCATCAGGCCACTCCAGCCAGGGAAGCAGGTAGGCTAACTGCAGAGCTTCCAATCTCCTCAAACCCATCTCCTGAGTCTCTCTTCCCTAGTTCTACAGCAGACCACCTGTAGAATTCTTCTCCCTTTCTGCTCCCTTCTTCAGTGAACCACACAGAACTACCCCTACAAATGTGCTTTCCCTAAGCCCCAAATCCAACACCCATGCCCTGGGAACCCTCAGGCTAATTAGGTCAGCAAAGCACTTAAACTCTTTCACTCTCCTGTCATTCCTATATGCTCAAACCCCAAGTCTCATCCCCAGCTCTGTGACAGAGCACCCACTTCAGCCTCTGCTCACTCTCTGCCCCATTCCCAGGGGACTAAGTTGATCCTAGTGGAACACTCTGCTTTCCTCCCTGCTTTGTAACCCCTCTCCCTCCCTCTCCTAACCCATTCTTAGTCCTAAATGTCAGTTGCCAGAACCTAAAAACACATTTTACCTGGAACCCCCAGTGCACACATCTATCAGGATCCAAGAAGAATTTCCTTCCAGGCAACACACAGTAACCACACTAAAAAGACAACAGAACCAAGAGACAAAACATCCACCCAACAAAAACAAGATGAGAAATCATCACCTAGAATGACATCTCCCCAAACCCAGATGCCCAAACTTCAGCATAACACAGTCAATACGACCCAGGACAATGTGTCTCCGCTAGAATCCAGCTGTCCTATCACAGCAGTTTCTGAGTATTGCAACATAGCTGAAACACAAGACAAAGACCTTAAAAGAACCTTTATGAATATGATATAGTACTTACAGAGGAAATGGATGAATAAATCCAGTAAATAAATCCAAGAACTTAATTAGTAAAAGGAAATGAATGAAAAGTTCCTGAAATAAAACAGACCTAAATAAAACAATACCTGAAAGTGGAAAAGGAATTATAAAGAAAACACTAATTGGGGGAAATCTGGAAATGTAAAAATTAGGAACTGGATCAAGAACATCAGAGGCAACAGAATCCAAGAATACAAGAAACAGAAGAGAAAAATCTCAGGCATTGAAGACAAGCTAGAAGAAAAAGATATCTCAATCAAATAAAATATTAAGCCTAAAATTGTTCTGGCACAAAACATCGAGGAAATCTTGGACATTATGAAAAGATCAAATCAAAGAATAATAGGACTAGATAACGGAGAAGAAACCTAGATCAAAGGCAGAGAAAATATTTTCACCAAAAGCATAGAAGAAAATTTCCCTGTCCTAAAGGAGGAAATGCCTATAAAGGAATAGAAGCATACAGAACACTAATT